ACTATTCTTAACCTCCCCCTGTCTATTTTCTACCTACCAATTATGCTTCTTATTCCCTGTACTTTTTCCCCCATTCTCCCCTTCCCCCTCTAGTACCCCTCCATGTGATCTCCTTTTCTGTAATTCTGCTCCTGTTCTAGTTGTTTGCCTAGTCGTTTTCTTCTAAGGTTCATTTGTTGAGAGTTGTGAGTTTGTTGTCACTGACCATTCATATATATGAGCTTCTTCTTCTTAGATAAGTCCCTTTAACATTTCATATAATATGGGCTTGGTGATGTTGAACTCCTTGAACTTGACTTTATCTGGGAAGCACTTTATCTGCCCTTTCATTCTAAATGATAGCTTTGCTGGATAGAGTCATGTTGCATGTAGGTTCTTGCCTTTCATGACTTTGAATACTTTTTTTCAGCCCCTTCTTGCCTGTAAGTTTTCTTTAGAGAAATCATCCGACAGCCTTATAGGTACTCCTTTGTAGGTAACTCTCTCCTTTTGTCTTGCTGCTTTTAAGATTCTCTCCTTATCTTTAATCTTGGGTAATGTAATTATGATGTGCCTTGGTGTGTTCCTCCTTGGGTCCAGCTTCTTTGGAACTCTCTGAGCTTCCTGGACTTCCTGGAAGTCTATTTCCTTTGCCAGATTGGGGAAGTTCTCCTTTATTATTTGTTCAAATAACTTTTCCAATTGTTGCTCTTCCTCTTCCCCTTCTGGTACCCCTATAATTCGAATGTTGGAACATTTAAAGATGTCCTGGAGGTTCCTAAACCTCTCCTCATTTTTTTGAATTCTTGTTTCTTCATTCTTTTCTGATTGTATGTTTCTTTCTTTTGTTCCAAATCATTGAGTCTCTGTTTTCCTTCCCTTTGCTGTTGATTGGTTCCCTGTATATTTTTCTTTATTTCATTTTGCATAGCTTTTCCTTCTTCCTTTATTTTGTGCCTGAACTCATTCACTTCTGTGAGTATCCTGATTACCAGTGTTTTGAACTTTGCATCTGATACGTTGGCTATGTCCCTGTCACTTTTTTTCTTCCTGGAGTTTTGATCTATTCTTTCATTTGGATCATATTTCTTTGTCTTGGTGCACCTGTTACATTGTAAGGGCTGGAGCCTTAGGTATTTACCAGGATGGGGCAACCCACTTCAATGTGTTGTGGCACTATCTGTGGGGGAGGAGTCAGAGAGGGAACAATGCCACTTGCTCGGCTTTTGCCCCATATTGGGTCACTTTCTCCACTACCCATAAGCAAATTGGGCCCTTCTGGTGCTGATTACCAGGTGGGTGGGTTTGTGTACATTCTCAGATCCTGTGGGCCCCTCCAGTGGACTCTCCTGTGAGACTGGCAGTTACTCCCATCTCTGCAACCTCCACAGATTTTTATATCCAGAGGTTTGAGGCTTTAGTTTCCCATGCTGGAACCCTAGATTGCATAGTGTTTCTTGCTCCCCAGTTGTTCCTCCCAGTTTATATGCAGGTGAATGTGGGACCACCCAGTCCACCAGTCTCCAACTTGCGTGTCCTCACCACCCTGGCTTCCCATCTCTGCCCCTCCTATAAATTTGGATGAATGTTTCTTTAACTCCTTGGTTGTTGGACTTCCATACAGTTTGATTTTCTGGCAGTGCTGGTTTGTTTTCTGTTTTTAAATTGGTTGTTACCCTTGTTTTGGTTGTGTGAGGAAGTGAATCCTGTCTACCAATGACTCCATCTTGGCTGGAATTTAAAAAGTCATTTTCCTTAGGAACTGATGATTTGAATGCAGTTAAACCACAAGAGCCAGAAGAAAGAGGGAGGGAACAAGTTCAAGGGATACATTGATAGACTGGCAACAGGTAGTAGTAGTTGATTGCCTGAAGGTCTTAGGGCAGTTTGAAACAGGGTTCTTGGGATAGAGGGGACAAACAGAGCTTATAATCAGAAAGGAATTTTAGATGCTGTATAAAATTTGGTACTGCTTCAGCATAGGGCCATGTGTGCATTTTACTGAAGTGAAATACTGTTAATAGCCAAGGTCATTGGATAAAAGTAGGGCAAGAAAATTATCATTCATTGAAATATTTATTGATTATTCAAGGATATAGCTATGCTATAAGTTGCAGAAATACTGGTGAACAAGATGAATAAGATTCTTACTTTTATGGAGCTTGCAGTTGGAGAAGTGGGCAAAGGTCAAATTATGGAAGGCCTTGTAGTCATGTTAAGAAATGTAAGATTTGGATTTGTTCTAAATGCAATGAGAAACCACTGGTGGGTTTTATGCAGGAGAATGGCCTAATCTTATTTCTGCTTTGAAAAGATTGTTCTGGTTGTTATGTTGAGAACGTATCATGCAAATAAGTGTAGAAGTGGAAGATTAGTTAGAAAGATATTGAAATAGTTCAGGAGAGTTGATAGTGGCTTGGATAAAGGTGATGGCAATGGAGATGAAAAACGGCAGACTTGTATGTGTTTTGAAGATAAAGCTGACTGTGCTTGATAATGGATTTGATATGGGAGGTGAGAGGAAGTGAGGAATTTAGGATAACTTGTCACTTACAGAGATAAGAAATGCTGGAGTGGAAGGAGCACATTTTGATAGATGTTGATTTCATATTGGATATGTTGAGTTTGAGGAATTTGTGGATGTGTTTAGTGGGACAGTTGGCTGTGTTGGTATAATGCTCAGAAGGCTGGGCTGGAGCCCTTCATTTGGGAGTCATAAATGCAAAGGCAGTTAACTGAAGTTGTGAGAGTATGTACGATTGTCTAGAAGAAGAGGGGATGGGGAGTGAGAAAAGAATTGGGCATCCAGCAGAACGGACAACACTGACTCCTGAGAGGCTTGGAGTAGGCAGAATTCATTCTACCAATACTATGCTGGCAAAGGTCACTCATGAGTTCATGCTCCCTCAAATCCTATGAATATCTTTTAATCCTTATCTTTCTGAACTCACAGCTGCATTGTGATACTATTGTTCACTTCCTGTGAAACTACTTTCCAGGTTTTCCATTCCTTCCTACACATTTCCTTTACCTTTTTTGTTTACCTTAAACTTTGTTATTCCCCAGGGAAGACTAAACAGTTAGACTTTATGTTGGACTGTCAGGAAGGACTTCTGGAGCCACATCTTCTCCAGAATCAGGAAACTGTTAGCAAATTTTGGAAGCTGTTGGTTCCAAAACTTGATGGAGATGAGGGAAAATTCCAGGTAGAGTGAAGAGCAAGTACAAAGGCCATGAGATATGAATGTGCTTGATGTATTTGAAGAACAGGAAAGAAACCCATGTAGCTTGAGTAGAATGATCAAGGGAACAGCAATAAGATACAAGGTTACAGATGTTATGGGATGGGAATGGAATTCATTTCTAAGGGTTCTTATAGACGCCATTGGGAGGACTTTGGGTTTTAAGCTAAGTAAAATGGATAATCACTGGACAATTATGAGTAGATGGTTCCTTATTGTTAGGTCAGAGTCGCTCAAGAAACTGGACAGATGCAGAGAGCTAAGGAGAGCAGGGTTTATTAATGGGGAATAAGAGGGAAAGTGGAGCCAACCAAGGGATGTTGGGACTTGTGGGGAAAGTGGAGCCAACTAAGGGAGGTTGGGATTCACTCAGTTGTTCTTAGGTCAGGGTTTTTAAATACAAAAATCTGCGAAGGGCATCAGACTTTGATTGGTTGGAGCTGGTTGCTGGGTGCAGGCTCAAGTTAAAGCTACATCCTGTTATGCCAGATAGCCTGACCCCAGACCTGAATCTTCATCTGTTTTTCCTGGGTAGGGTCTGCAGGCAGCTTTGCACGGTGACATTTTCTCACCTGGTGATTTTCATTTCTCCTAGGCCTGCCTAGATCTAACACTCACAACTAATGTTTTATCAGGCTTCCTCTGGTTGAGAATGGATTGAGGGGTACTAGAGCTGAAGCAGGGAGACCAACTATCACAAAGATGCAGGCAACAAATGATTTCGGCCAGGACTAGCGTTAGCAGTGAAAATGGTGAAAAGCTATCAGATGCTGGTTGTACTTTTAAGGTAGAATAAACTTAGCTTCCAGATAGATGAAGTGTGAACTGAAAGAGAGGAGACTAGGTTGACTCCAAGGTTTTTGGCAAGAGTGCATGGAAGGACAAAATTGCCATTTTCTGAGGAGGGGAAGGCTATATGGGAGAAACAAGTTTGGGGAGGAAGATTAGAAACTTGGTTTGGGACATGTTAAATTTCTAATACCTGATAGGCATTCAAATAGAAATGCTAGATAGAGCAGTTGGTTATAAAGGTCTGGAGTCCAAAGAGACTAGTTGGAGATACAAATTTAGAACTCATTGGCTTAATGATGGTATATACAGGCATGTGACTGAATGAAGTCACCAAGGGAATTAATGTAACTGAAGAAAAAATGATCAAGCCCTGGGGAATGTTTTAAGGAGAATGGAGTCATAAACTATATTAAATGCTGTTGCGTCATTGGTTTTTCCTTTGTTCCTCCCTCATTCACTCATGACTATAAACATGATAAAGCTGTGCAGAACTCAATCTACTTATGCTCAAACTCAGATTCAAATATCTTTTCTTCTTTTACCTTCCTCTAAATATGTACTATAAACCTTATGCAATGTTCTGAACTATTATGTTCCAATCTGGGCCCCACACTGCAAGTGATACTGAGGCAAAAAGCATAGCACAGTAGGACTTTAAAAAGATGAGGCAATTTGGCCTGGAGAAAAGACTTTCCAGGAAAGACAATAGTTATATCAGCTATGTGGTGTCAGAATTAAAATCCTTGACTTGACAGAACAACTTTTCCAAAAGTGGCATGAAAGTCCCAGGCAGTAGTGACTTCTCTGTGACTTTCAACATGATAGTTACTCAATTTTCCAAAATCATACTCTTTTTCTGGCTTTGAAATACTAGTAAACAGTGTGGTGTATAGTGTATGTCATATCTAATTGATATTGGGGTAGTGGTTGCTATACTGTAGTGACAGATTCTGGAAACAGCTACGACACACACTTGGAATCTCACAGTCACATAATCAACCATTTTACTAAATACAAGCATGTTTTCATTCACATACAGCTAAAGAAAACATTTTTTTTTCACATTTCATTACAGTGCACAACAAAGTGAGGAAAAGTATACAGTACATTTTATTTTGGAATATGAGACAATCTATTCCAACATGCAGTTGTAGTCTTTGTTACAAGTTAATCTTTTCTTTACTTATGTAGTAAAATAGCTTCTAAAGCTTTATCCTTAGTATTGTTTTAACACCTGATTTTTTCACACTTATTTTCTAAAACCCACTTATTGCAGTGACAACAGCACTGAATTCTACTAAAATGATTTTTAAAGTTTCTAGAACTTGTTTAAGCAATTAAGCTCAGCCACCTTTGCTGGATCTATGCTGAGTATTTTTAAACCTGCCTAAAAATGCAAGGAATGGGAAAAGTATACATATAGTGTATTTTAGTCAAAAAACTGTAGAGAAGTTTTGTTTTCATCTTTTTTTTTTTGAACTGACAGAATCCAGTCAACTCTCATCTATCCACTGGATAATCTTGCTTTCAGAATCTTTTAAACATAATTAAGTATAGTAGTTGATAAACTTTGTATTAACCCAAATTACCATCTTTTATTTTTCATCTACACTTGATCTTAGCCAAAAGGCTGAAAAGCAATTTTTACTTGTCATCTACAATCACAGAACTGTCAACTTAATTACTCTGCCTGGTCATGTTAAACGTAAGTAGAGATCGTGATTGGTTCATTTGTAGTTAGTTGATGCTGCAGGTTGGTTGAAGAATGTTTGTTTCCATATATTCACAATTTGGCTTCTTTATTTTGACTGCAGTAAATTTCCACATTTTCAAATTCAATCACATTCATACTGAAGTTTAACACTATATCTCAAAGCAATTTACCATTCTTAGGCTTTCCTATCACAATGAATATGAGAAATCTGACTCTAATCAGAATTTTTGTACTGTGAAAAGTATGGCTTTTGCCTAGCTGAACTGGCTACAATTCAAAAAATAATTTAAAGCATCACCTCTGTTCAAGAAGGTAATGGAACCTCAAGCCAACCGTTCCAATTTTCTGATGCAGTTATCTGTCTGTTCACCTGAGAATTAAGAACTTACTTTCTAGGGCAGACAGGAACCTAGTATAGGTATATGGCAAACCGGTGGCCAAGGTCATTGTGAGGTGAGTATTTTATCCCCATCCCACTTCCCATTGCTGTATTTGGTTCCTTTCAATAATATGTCCACTGTGTTTCAGTGATAAGAACACTTCTAGCATACACAGTTCTAAGGTGTTTTCAGTTGTGCAATTATTCACTTGTTTAAAGCCTTCTTGTCAATAACACCTGAATGGGCTTTACCTTTGATTGATCCCTAGGTTCCCTCAGCATTATAGTTGAGTTGTGATCAATAAGGAAACATCCTAACAAGTAGAGAACATTTATTTACAGTCATATCTCTTCCAAAGTGAACAAATTAATAACAGTTCCTTCATCTGACAGCAAGACAATGCAGTGAAACAAGAACTAGGAGTCAAGAGACCTTCACCTTGGCCAAGTGAATCTCCTGCCTCTTAGTTTACTTTTGTAAAATGGAGAAGAAAACCTCACAGCCCTGTTAATGCGGATTAAATAAGTAATTCAAGTGACTGTAAGGTGTTTGTAAGAGTTATAGTGCCTCCTGTTGAGAAGGTACTCAGTACAGGATTGGTGAGTGAGTGCCTCTGTTTTCAGAGGCAATCCCTGTGTTGTTGCCATGACCTGAAGAAACAGGCACATTGTTTACTTCTAGATTGCAGTTGCCAATGCAGTGAAACCCCAGGCATAGTCAGAGGGAAAAGAGGGTATGGCATTTGAGTTAGTGTTTCTGTCTTCTACTTACAAGGTATTTTGCATGGGACAATTTCTTTCACACAGCTGGTTATTCTATCACACAGCTGGTTATTCTATCACAAGGGTGTAGATTTTCCCCAATGTGATAATAACAGTGTGCAAACAGTCTCCCTTTTCATAGTCACACAATTTTTACTAGAACACCAGGCCTTAAAAGGGTCTTAGTAAATAGCTGGTCCACACCCCTCATTTTATAGATGAGCTGTTTAGAATCTCATTGGTACACTTTAACCAAATCTAGCACACACGCTTGGTACAGGATAATCTCACGAATTAAGATAACCTCAGTTTTTTAGTTTTGCTAATTGTTCCCAGTGATACACTCTTCTCCCCCTTACATATGTCTTTATTTTCATGACCAATGAATGAACTGAAATACCAAGAAATAGTTGTCTTATTTGTGGGTATATTTTTCTGGGGCCTGGCTCCCCAAACCTCAGGCTCTTGACATGTGGTTTACAAAGGGCACACGGAGCAGCCACTGCCCAGCATGAGCCACAAAACAGTGCTTGGCCCATGCCAGTAATGCAGTCCCTCAGTCACAGCACCCAGGCTCCCTCGTCCATCTGCCCACAACCTGTCAGAGTGCCCCTTGGGAAGGAGGTTCACTTGGTATCCAAAATTAAGGTTGGGTTCTCTTCAGTGACACAAGGATTCTATTCATTTCGATCACTTTTAAGTTCAGATGGGAGAGCATGTTTTGGAAATAAAAAGGCCTGACTAGCACAAACATCTCCTCTCTGATTTGACAACCTCTTCTGAAGAGTGAACCACATTTGGTACAAATCCACTCTTCACCCCTTCCCAGCCCTCCTGGATTGTAATATCCCCCCTTTTAACCAGCTCATATATGTCTTTCGTCAGGTCTGTGAAGGCTTTCTCCACATTAATGGCATCTCGGGCTGATGTTTCAATGTACTTCATACCGTACGCAGCAGCCAGTTTCTCTGCCTCATGGCGAGTCACTTGCCTCTGTGTATCCAGGTCACACTTGTGACCCACCAGAACAAATACAATTTGGTAGGGCTGAACATGTACTTTGGTCTCTTCTAACCACTCATGGACATTCTGGAAGGACCTGCGGTTGGTAATGTCAAATAAGAGAAGACCACCTACTGAGTTCCTGTAGTAGGCTCGAGTGATGGATCTAAAACAAAAGAAAGAAGTAAAGAAAAAAGGTCATGCCCAAAATCCTGTACGTACTTCAATGAACTTAGTGTGTTCTACTGTTTATAGTTACTGACACAGTTCTTTAGTAAAAATGATTTTCTTTTTTTTAACAATGGAATACAAATGTCACCCCATAAGCATAAGAGAGGTGAATTTTCAATTGCACAAAATTTTGAAATGACATCTTCTAGAAATGAATGCTCATAGCCTTAGCGGTATTTCCCTTCGATTCAGGTAGAACCACAGCTAACTCTCTCACCCCAACAGCTGAATAACTGAAGGGGACTTCCAGTTCTGTAAAATAAGATACCCAAGTCACAGGTTATCCTGAGGCAAAATGAAATAATGAATGCCAAAGCATACTGTTACTTGGAGGGCTCATTATAAATTCTAGCAGTTGAAGCACAATTTTTTTTAAAAAGGTTATTTATTTTTAGAGAGAGGGGAAAGGAGGGAGAAAGAGAGAGAAACATCAATGTGTGGTTGTCTCTCATGCACCCCCTACTGGGGACATGGCCAGTAACCCAGGCAAGTGGCCCACCTGAAATTGAACTGACAAACCTCTGGTGTGCAGGCTGGCGCTCAATCTACCGAGCCACACCAGCCAGGGCTGAAACAATTTTTAAAAAGATAAATTTGTCCTGACTGGTATGGCTCAGTGGATTGTGGGCCGGCCTGCACACTAGAGGGTCGTCAGTTCCATTCCCAGTCGGGGCACATACCTGGGTTGTGGGCCAGGTTTCCTGGTGCAGGGCATGTGAGGGGCAACCACACATTGATGTTTCTCTCCCTCTCTTTCTCCCTCGCTTCCCTTCTGTCTATAAATAAATAAATAAAATCTTTAAAAAAAATTAATTTATGGCTGTTGGCAGAAAATGCTTATAAGTATATAGATATATTGCAATACACTCCATTTCCCAATTGTAACTCACATGTTTCTCTATTATTCCATTATTATTTTAACCCAACAGGGGTCCTCAATGTCTTCTGTGAGGAGAAACACAATTTTGTGGAGAAATGCAATTTTATTTTTATTTTTCAGGACATTGGGAATAGAAAAAAGAGAGATGGTCTGCAAAGGCCTTGAGCAAAGTGCCTATCAGCCATTTTTCCTGACACATTTCAGACAGGCTGAATAAGGAGCCATCAGCTGGGCAAGACTGCCTAAATTGCCAAAGCTTCCCCTTAAAATGACATGATTTATTTAAATCATTATAATTAGAATATTTCTAATTACAATATTTTAAAAAATATATAAATTTGCTATACTTCTCAAACAGAAGAAACCTCATCTTTTTAAAGATTTTATATTTTTAGAGAGGGGAAAGGGAGAAAGAGGGAGAGAAACATCAATGTGTGAGAGAAATTGGTTCCTTTTGCATGGCTTGGCCCCACAACCCAGGCATGTGCCCTGGTAGGGAATGGAATTGGTGACCTTTTGGTTTGCAGGCCGGTACTCAATCCACTGAGCCACACCAGCCAGGGCCAAACTTCAGCTTTTTTAATTTCTTGATTTGAGGAATCTCATTTCAATTCACATTATAGTACTTTGCTTCGATAATTTTAGAGCTTAGAATTATTTGCTTCTACAACCAGCTGTGTTATACTATTGGGCTTTTTTTATCAATGCGTATTTTTAGGTTTTCTGTCTTCTTGGATGAAGAAGATAAAAATGAGGGCTGAATAGTTAAGGCTTGTGGCAAATGGCTTAATAGTAACAGAATAAACATTTTCCAGAGCGTTAAAGTACAGACTAGATGATGGGAAGAGCAAATCAGTTCAAGTCTCTAGAACCAGCCGAACCAGCCAGCCCTAGGGAATGAAAACAGTTCTAATTTCCTTATGTTTGAAGATTCATGGATACATGATTAAAAGTTTGGATTTGTGAACAGCTTGGTTCAAGACATGAATAAGAACACTGTAGAGCCCTTTCAAAACTCTAACATACATTATTACATCAGTATTAGAAAGTAACCGAGAGTATTTAGAAAAGTAACAGAACCCCTTTTAAGCACAACATAAAGCTGTAAAAAAATTAAAACCAGTACATCAAAAACTTTTTTTGCCCTGGCTGGTGTGGCTCAGTTGGTTGGTCGTCGTTCCGAAAACCCAAGGGCCACAGGTTCGATTCCTGGTCAGGGCACATGCCAGTGTTGTGAGTTCTGTCTCTGGTCGGGATGCTTGAGAGAGGCAACCAGTGTTTCTCACATGGATGTTTCTGTCCCTCCCTCCCCCCTCTCTAAAAAACATATGAATGAGCATGTCCTCAGGGGAGGATAAAAATTTTCTTGAACAAAGTTCAGACAAATGACAAACTGGGAAAATATTTTATACTATGCATGCTAGAAAAAGGGTAATATTCCTAATCTAAAAACACTCTAACAAATCAATATCACCCAATAATAATCAGTGGATATGAAAAGGCTATTCATACAGATATTGCAATAAATATAAAAAAGACACCTTTCTTTTTTTTAAGATTTTATTTATCTTTAGAGAGGAAGGGAAAGAGAGAAGGAGAGAAACATCAATGTATGGTTGCCTCTCGTAAGTCCCCTGCTGGGAACTGGCCTGCAAGCCAGGCATGTGCCCTGACTGGGAATCGAACTGCAATTGAAGACACTTTTCTTCACTTAACGAGAAATGCATTCACCAGTTCAAAGTGAACCTGTACAAGGATATTTGCCAGTAGTGTTTGTGGAAGTGGGGATTTGGAGACAACTTAAGTTTGTAGTTATCTTTTCTCCTTATCCCTCTTCAACTACCTAACCAGTATCTTCTATGCTCAATTAATGTTCAATAGATGAATAAATTATCATAAACATGGGCTATTGAAGCCTATTAATCTAGTTCCTGATGCTCAATGTGACTTTAGTCCAAGTTGCTCTCTCAAAGTTTTCTTTGTATATTGCTCTCTGTCACTTCTGTCTTTATACATAAGCTGCTTCCTTTCCCTGGGCTTTTTTTTTCCATCATCAGGCCTCATATTCTCCAGGTAGTCTTTCCTCCCTCTATATATTACACATATATTTACAAATGGTACATATTACAAAGGAAAAACTAAGGATCGTACAAGAAAATTACACCTGTTCATTGATTACACATTATGTGCTAAGATTTATAGTAGGGAGTGGACATACAAACAAAAAGAAGACTCTCTGTTGTGTAATTGCTGATGATCTATTTATTCCCCACCCACTCCACTCTGCTAGCACAGAAGTTTTTAAGAGGGAAGGGCCCGTATCTGTTTTGTTTACATGATATCCCCTTGTGTAAATTTCTTCAGAAACAGGCCCCATGTGTGAAATGGAGTGGATGCTCACTGAATGTGTGCTGATTGCAAGAGGGAATCAATCATCAGTATCTATTTCATATATATATGAGACATATATATAAATATAATACACCTATATCTGTGCTTATGTCTATCTTTACATCATATATGTCTATATATGTTGGGATGACCTGGTCACATTTAAAAAAGTACGTAGTGTAGGGATTGAGATTGATGAATTACAGTGATCAATTCCTACTAGCTTGTTAGCCACCATGGGGCAGGATGGTGGAGTTGTGGTGCAAGCCATCTGTGTTACTGACTGGCCTTTCCTGCCAGGGAGCTTCTTTCTCTGCATGGAACTCCCAGCTAGGGGAAGGTGGGCTTAAGCAGAAACCCCCAGACCTTCGGTACCCCTACGAGCTGGAGCTGGCCAAGACCAGGACCAGGAAGTCCTCTTTCCCCAGGGGCTGTATAAGCTCCGAAGACCCTCCCACCGCTCCCGGCTGGGAATGCGCTCTCACCTGAACCTCTCTTGACCCGCGGTATCCCAGATCTGGAGCTTGATGCGTTTTCCTGGCTCAATCTCCACTAGACGCGAGAAAAAATCCACCCCCACGGTGGGGTCTGAAACCTGGGCAAAGCGGCCCTCAGTGAAGCGGCGGATCAGACACGACTTGCCCACCGTGGAATCCCCGATGACAATGAGCCGGAACTGGTACAGCCAGATGGCCTCCATGGCCCAGGCTCCGCAAGTCTTATCCCTGGCCCTGTGCGGCGAGAGGGGTCGTCCCGCCAAGGCCTCACAGAGTGCGGCTCGGTCCGAATCTAGATGTGTTGCCAGCACATCGCTTGAGGAAGCTCGGGGTGAGGTAGGCCCAGGCGCAGGGAGAGCGGAGGGATGGATGCTGTGCTCACAGAGGTGATGAAATGGCAGCAGCATCAGCACCACGCACTCTGACTCATCACCGACAACCAGGTTACTGTAATCCCCCGCGTAGACGCGTCTCCTGGAGCCACCGCATTGTCTGTAAAAGGAGCGCACGCAGAAACGACTGAAAAACCATTATTCCCTTCTCTAATTTTTCCACCCACCCCTTCTTCTTAATTATAAATGTGTAGCTGTCAAATTGCAAAAGTAACATCTCTTCTTAAAAGTAGGGGAACAATGCAAAAATGTACACAAAAAGCAAAGCCCATGATTATCTGTGCCTCACCCTCCCCAAGGTATTTCACAGCTTGTTATATATTCTTCCACATGGATTTCCTGGCGAAAATATATGTATATATGTATACATGTACATATATAATAAAACATACATGTATACATATATACATTTGTTGCCTTTGATTCTACAAAAACGGGATCAAATGGGACCAATACCCTGACAGTCGCTTTTCGCAATTAACAAAGAATCGTAGACATCTCTCCGTTTCTGACTAATCTTTCTTTTGTCATGACAGTGTTGTAATAAACATTCTCTTAAGTATAGTCATACATTATTTCCTTGAGATGGAGTCTTACAAGAGGGCTTAGGAACTCAAATAGTATGAGTATTTTAAATGTAGTGGATGTAGGCATTATATGCAACTTGTAAAAATATTGACTAATTTAAATTCTAGTCAGCAATTTCTGAAAAGACTATTTTTTACATTATTTCAATCATCATATGCTATATTCTCTCGTAATTCTTGCCAATCTCTTGTAGTTAAATAAAAAGGTGTCTCTGCTGTGTTTTACATTTCCTTGACTACTAATTTCCCTGTCTCTACTGTGTTTTACATTTCCCTGGCTACTGGTGCACAACACCAGGTCTTGTGCATTGGCCATTTGTATTTCCTCTTCTGGGAATTGCCTCTTCAAATCCTTTTTATTTTTTCTATGTGATCTTTCATCATTGCTAACATTGCTTTACTCATTTTTGTTTTTTAAAACAGTTTTATCGATATATAATTCATATGTCATCTAATTTGTTCACTTAGAGTGTACAATAATTTTTAGTATAGTCGGTGTTGTGCAACCATCACCACAAATTTAAAATATTTTAATCAACTTAAAAAGAAACTCCTGTGACACAGGAGTTTTAGCCAACATCACTGTGTCCCATTATCTTTCTAATCAACCATTAATCTACTTTCTGACTCTGTACATTTCCCTATTTTGGACATCTGATATAAATGGAATCATATGATGTATGGACTTTTGTGTCTGGCTTCTTTCACTTATTGTGTTGTTTTCAAGATTTGTTCATGTCATAGTATGAATCAGTCACTTTATTCCTTTTTCATAGCTGAGTAATATGCTATTGTATGAATATACAACATTTTATTTATCCAGTCATTAGAATGGTGGACATTTGGGTTGTTTCTAATTTTTGGTTATTCTGAATAATGCTGTTATACATATTTGCATACAAGGTTCTGTTTGAACACATGCTTTGAACTCTTTTGGGTTTAAACCCATGAGTGTAATTCCCAGATCCTATGGTAACTCTATGTTGAATCCTTTGAGGAAATGCCAGACTGGTTTTCACAGTGACTGCACAATTTACATTCCTACCACCAGTGTAATAAGGTTTTGATTTCTTCATATCTTCTCCAACACTTTCTATTTTCTGACTTCTTGATTCTAGAAATCTTAGGGGATGTGGCTGGTATCTCATTATCATTTTGATTTGAATATCCCTGTGACTAAGGACAATGTGAACATTTGTACATTCTTTTTTTTTAATTTTTATTTTTTAATTGATTATGCTGTTACAGTTGTTCTATTCCCCCCTTTATTCCCCTCCACCCTACCCCCCTGTCCCCACCATTACCCCCCCTTTAGTTTATGACCATGTGTCTCAAGTTCTTTAGATTCTATATTTCCCATGCTATTCTTGCCCTCCCCCATCTATTTTCTATCTACTGTCTATGCTACTTATTTTCTGTACCTTCTCCCCGCTTCTCCTCCTCCCACTCCCCTGTTGTTAACCCTCCATGAGATCTTCATTTCTATGTTTCCACTCCTGATCTAGCTGTCCTCTTAGTTTGCTTTTGTTTTAAGTGTGGTTGTTAATAACTGTGAGTTTGTTGTCCTTTCACTGTTCATGTTTCTTTAACTTCTTTTTCTTAGATAAGTCCCTTTAACATTTCATATAATAAGGGCTTGGTGGTGATGAACTTCTTGAATTTGATCTTATCTGAGAAGCACTTTATCTGTCCTTCCATTCTAAATGAAAGTTTTGCTGGATAGAGCAATCTTGGTTGTAGGTCTTTGGATTTCATGAGTTGGAATACCTCTTTCCAGCCCCTTCTTGCCTGTAAGGTCTCTTTTGAGAAATCCGCTGACATTCTTATTGGCCATTTATATATCTTACTTGGAGAAACGTAGACTCAGATATTTTGTCCATTTTAACTGTATTATTTGTCTTTATATTATAGAGTTGTAAGAATTCTTTATATATTTTAGGGAGATGTCCCTTATCAGATATATGATTTGTAAATATTTTCTCCCATTCTGTGTGTTTTTCTCACTTTCTTGAGGGTGTCCTTTGAAGTACAAAGTTTTAAATTTTGAAAAAGTAGAGATATCTATTTTCGCTTTTGTTGCTTGTGCTACTGGTGTCAAGTCTAAAATACTTTGCCAAATCCAAGATCATGAAGGTTTGTGTCTATACTTTTGTCTATTAATTTTTTTAGGCTTAGCTTATACATTTAGGCCTATGATCTATTTTTAATTAAGTTTATTGGGGTGACAGTTGTTAATAAAGTTATATAGGTTTCAAGTCTACAGTTCTATGATACATTACCTGTATTGTATATTTATATGCAGGTATATGGTACATATAGCTGCATTGTGTGCCCACCACCAAAAGTTAAATCTTCTGTTACCATATATTTGACCCTTTTTGCCCTTTACTACCTCCCTCTACCTCCCTTCTTTCTGGTAACAACCATACCATTGTTTGCGTCTATGAGTTTTTGTTTGTTTGTTTTTCTTGTTAGTTCATTTGTTGCTTTCAGTTTTATATGGCACATATGAGTGAAATGATATGATTCTTGACTTTTCCCATCTGACTTACTTCACTTAGCATGATAATCTCAAGATCCATTCATGTTGTAGCAAATGACAGTATTTCATTTTTCTTATAGCTAAATGTATTCGATTGTCTATATGTACCACATCTTCTTTATCCAATCATCTATTGAAAGATACTTTGGTTGTTTCCATGTCTTGGCCACTGGGAATGATGCTGCAATAAATATATGAGTGCATGTATCTTTGTGAATAAATTTTTGGTTAATTTTTATATATGCTGTAGGGTTACAACTTTATTCTTTTGCATGTGGATTTCTGGTTCTCCAAGAACCATTGGTTCGGGAGATTATTCTTTTCTCATTGAATGATTTTGGTACCCTTGTTGAAAATCAACTGATCATAGACTATGGGTTTATTTCTGGGCTTGCAATTTTAATTTTATTGCTCTGTATGTCTAGTTCAGTACCACATGGTCTAGATTGTTGTAGCTTTTTTTATTGTTGTTCAAGTATAGATGTCTCCAGTTTCCCCCACCACTACCCCCCACCCCAGCCATCTCTACCTCCCACCCTCAATCCTACCATGCTTTGGCTTTGTCCTTGTCCATGTGTCCTTTATACATGTTCCTTGACAATCCTTCCCTCTAAGCCCCCTGATATCCCCTCCCACCTCCCCTCTGTTTACTATCAGTTTGTTCTTTATTTCAATGTCTCTGGTAATATTTTGCTTGCTTCTTTGTTTTGTTGATTAGGTTCCACTTACAGGTGAGATCATAGGGTATTTGTCTTTCACTGCCTGGCTTACTTCACTTAGCATAGTGCTCTCCAGATCCATCCAAACTGGCACAAAGGGTAGGAGCTCCTTCTTCTCCTCCTCCTCCTCCTCTTCCCTCCCTCCCCTTCCCCCTCCCCCTCCTCCTCCTCCTCCTCCTCCTTTTTTTGCTGCATAGTATTCTATTGTGTAAATGTACCACCGTTTTTTTGATCCACTCATTTACTGATGGGCACTTAGGTTGCTTCTAGCACTTGGCTATTGTAAATTGTGCTGCTATGAACATTGATGTGCATAGGTTCTTTTGAATTGGTGTTTCAGGATTCTTAGTGTATAGTATAGTTCCAGCAAAGGAATGGCGAGGTCAAAAGGCACTTCCATTTTTAGTTTTCTGAGGAAATTCTGTTTTCCACAGTGTGTGCATCAGTCTGCATTCCCACCAACAGTTTACTAGGGTTCCCTTTCTCCAAATCTCACCAGCCCTTGTTGTTTGTTGATTTGGTTATGATGACCATTCTGACTGGTGTGAAGTGGTATCTCACTGTGGTTTTAATTTGCATCTCTCTGATGGCTAGTGATGCTGAGCTTCCTTTCATATGACTCTGGGCCCTCTGTATGTCCTACTTGGAGAAGTACCTATTCAGATCCTTTGCCCGTTTTTAAATTGAATTGTTTATTTTTCTAGTGCTGAGCTGTTATGAGTTTCTTTTTTATTTTTATTTTACTTTTTAAGTATATTTTATTGATTATGCTATTATAGTTGTCTCACTTTTTTCTCACCTTTATTCTCCTCTTCCCAGAACTCCCATTCCCTCCAACATCCCCCCTTTTAGTTCATATACTTCTGAGTTCTTTGGCTTATGCATTTCCTATATTATTCTGTTCTCCTGTCTATTTTGTATCTATGAACTATGCTTCTTATTCCCTGTACTGTTTCCCCCATTCTCCCACATCCCCCTCCCCACTGATAACCCTCCATATGACCTCCAATTCTGTGATTCTGTTCCTGTTCTGGTTGTTTGCTTAGTTTGTTTTTGTTTGTGTTTTTTTTAAGGTTCCTTTCTTTTTTTTTCTTTTTTCTTTCCATTTAAAACAATTTTTTGATAGGTGTGAGTTTGTTGT